TTCAACAATTTAACTGCCAATCATTCATATGAGCACCATGTGTAATATATAATATATATATAGAAATATAAAAATATAATTTACATTACCAACATTGTGCAATTGAAATCGATCAAAGAAAGCAATGCACAAATGACGCTGCAACGCCATAAAGCAAAGTTGCTGCAACAACGTAAACAAACTTGCAACAACTGCAACGAAAGTGAACAGAACAAATGCCCGCCCATTGGCAGCAAATGGGCCAACATATGGACAATACTCCTGCTGCTGCTGTTGTCCTCCTGCCAACTGGGTCGCGCACAACAACAGCAACAACAACAACAACAACAACAGCTTAGACAGGGCCAAGCAGTGCCAGCCCACACGGAGCGCGAATCCGTTGAACTGCCACAGGACATTGAGAGCGACAACGATATCGAATTCGCCAGTCTCGATGGCGCCACGCAGCTGCTGCCAGCGACGCGCCATGGCGTCGACGCCACAGCGGCGCCGCCGTCGACGCCGTCGCTGCTGCTGACATCATCGGCCAATTCCTACACGGAGCTGCCCGGCGGCGAGATACTGAGCGAGCGCACTTTGCGGCTCAGCGAGAGCCCGTACCTGGCACGCGAGGACCTCGAGGTGGTGCGCGGCGCCCGTCTGACCATCGAGCCGGGCGTCACGGTGGAGTTTGCACCCACCAAGGGACTCAAAGTGCGCGGCGTGCTGCAAGCTGTGGTAAGTCAAAATCCAATCGAATTGCGTTTGATTTAAGGAAATGACAAAGGGGGCTTTTAATATAGAAATACCCTATAGTATTTACATAAAAGTATAGCGGGTATACAAGACTCTTATAGTTGTTGTCTTTAAAAAATAAAAATAAAAATATGTAAATGTGGATAAAAGTCAAATAACCGAAGTTGAAAAAATACCCTACAGAAGAAAATGTGTGGGGTGTTTTTGGTACATATTAATTCTATATAGGTATAGTATATATGAGTATGGAATATATTAGTTATAGTAGATAAGATGCAGATAACATTTTTAGCCTCGTTCTGAAAGTTATGCGAGATACACATTGTGTCATACATAAACAACAAATATGCGAAGTAGTGAAGTAGGAAGGGTATATACAACTTGTAGAGCAGTTGAAGAAGGCTTAGAGCTGAGATAGAATCGAAAATAAAAACAAATTACCTAATTGAAATAATAATTATAATTATTATATACATACAAACATATATATATATATATATTTTTTTTTTGGGTATAGCACATACACACTTGACGATTTCATTTATGATAATATAAAATAAAATTATATTAAATATTGAATTATATATACAGCTGCGAAAAATAAAATAGCACCACTTGCATATTCAGAGTTTGA